TAGTGGAGTGGATAATAATAAATGTATTAAAGAATGAACTAGAGCTAGAAAAAAAAAAGTTGAACACTAAAATAATCTAGCCTTCCTAATCGCAAGAACTTCAGAATTGGTCAGCTAAACCAACGGCCCTTTATATGCCTGCCGGTTTTCAGCTTCCCCTGCCCTTTGTATTGCTTTGTTACTGGGCTTTATGCGTTGAATATTCGATGCTGATGTTTTAAAGTACAATTTAATAAGTACTATTTTTGTCACCTGGTATGACCTTTTTAAACATCAATTGTTTTGTCAAAATGACAATGAAATTGTATTGTCACGGGCTTATTCTTTGAGTTAAAGTTTGTAGAATAAATATAGCCTATGAGTTAAAGTTTGAAGAATAAATATATTTCATATGAACGTAGCATTGTACTAGAAGGTAACCTTTTTATGACTTTCTCAAAATGTACGTTAAGAATCACATTTAACAAAAGTGGTGGCTGAGTTAATTTAGTCTAAAAGTACAATTTAGGTTTAGGACACCAACAACAAAAGAATTCTTGCTAGAAAAAGATATATACATGACTTAGACAAATAATAATAATAATAATAATAATAATAATAATAATAACAACAACAACAACAATAATAATACTAATAATAATAATAATAATAATATCATGGTTTTTATTTTAAGAAAGGCTAGTTGATAGCTAGTACGTAAAAAAAGGTAGTGAGTAAACAGGGCAGTGAATATTTATATATTAAACTTAGCACATCATGTTTACGAAAGAAGCAAGCTGGTCACCCACTTGGTAACCAGACTAGAAAATATAAGTTTTTAAATTGGGATCAATCTTTTGTATACGTTGAGATTGTCTAAAAGTTTTCTACATGAATGGTTCTAAATATGTGTCATATGTACCATTTCTTTAGCAAGAAATAGGTGAAATTTAACAAGCGAAGGAGAGAAAATGGAGATTTGCGCTCGAAACTTTTAATTTTTGAAATTTCAATGTCAACTACTAAACTGACGTTTCCTTAGCTATGTCACATGCGCCTTATGAGAATTCAAATATAACTAGAGACATCGTCATGAATCCAATCATATCTATGTTAATAATAATATTGTGTTTAGATAGACAAAAGTTTTCAAATATTATTTTGATTATATTATAAACACGTTTTCAATTACTTTTTCTTAATCCTAATTATTTTTTATCTTACATGCATCACAATACAAAAAATATTATAGTAATTATTTCAAATAGTATTATATCAAAGACAATGTTATAATCAACATACAAAATATAAATCGGTTAAACAATAAATACAATTAACTATTAGAAGGGGAAAAGAAAAAGCCCCACACAAAAGGTTAACATTTGATGCACTCTCATTACAATATTTTCACTTTATTTTTCTTGCTTTCTTTTTTGAATTATTTCTTCTTAAAAGTACGGGCAGTCAAAAGGAAAGGAAAGGAGGGGAATCACGTTCTGTTAGTGTAATTTTTTAAACATACAAGAGTAAATGCATAATGTGAATTCCATGGGCAGCTACATGTTAATGGGAATCACGTTCTATTCGAATGCAACATGAGATATATAGACAGAGAGAATCATATCCTTTCGAAGTTAGCATTAATTGAAGAAATTAGAAAATCGTCCTCTTCTTTTTGTTTGCTAGTTAATGCGGAAAGATTTATAATTAATCAATCAAACACATTACAAAAGCTGTAGCAAGGATACATTTGAGCCTTCTCCAATTAAACCTAAGGTCTACTAACCCCAACTTGTCACATGAAGATTCTTGTAGCAAAGTCTTTTTTTTTTTTTTTTTGTAAGCAAAGTCTACTAATGTTACTAATAAAAATTGAATTACAAGTAATAGGAATGCCAGGTTTGACATAATATTCAGAATAGAAAAGGAGAGTCTTCATGGTTCACCATGCACGTGCCACAAACATAGGTCAACTATGGATACCTTGCTTGAACGCAGATGTAATCGAGTCGAGTCAAACTCAAGTACTTCCTCATTTGGGCTCAACTCAACTTAAAAAATAAGTACTTGAACTCGAGTTCAAGTTCGTTGAGTATCCCATTTCTAGAGTACGAGCTCATCTCGGATACTACTCAAGATTGAAATTAAGTTGAATCGAGCATTCTTGATTACATTTAAAAAAAAAAAAAATCTAACCACAACTTTTCAAAAATCTATCAACAATTTTTAAAGCCAAAAACCTTCAACTAGTATTCAAATAATAAGAACAAATTAGCATGTCTAAATAGAAGTAGAGTTTAAAATTAATAAATAAATAATAAACAACACTTAATTAGGTTCACAAGCATAACTTTTTGAATCTCGAGCTCAACTTAATTTGCAACTTGAACTCAAGCTTGAGCTCGATAATAATCGAGTCGAGCCGAGATTTTCTTGAGTCGAGCATTGAGCTTACACATGGGTAGCTCAGCTCACTTGCACTTCTACTCAAACGTGCTTTTCTACATGGAAAAGGCAGGTACAGTTGCTCTAGCATGCCTACTTGAAAACGAGCTAGGACAGACTACAATTGGTTGAGAGAGTTGTTTGGAAACAACGGTGAATAACCTCGTCAATGCTATGATATAAGATGGATAGTGTTGAAAGTTTATATGACTAAAGTTAATCAATTTCTAAAGTTTAATATTCACTTGAACTATTTATGTTACAATAAATGACACCTTTATCTTATTGGTTACTTATACATAAGTATGATAAAGCCTTTAAAGTAAACCTAATCGATGAAATTATAAGAGTTATGATGGTAATGTTTATTCGATTGTAGATAAAGTTTATTTTTAAATATCTCTAGTCAAAATATTAACAGGACAAGGCATTGTTAATACGGTTAAATTAGCATGTACTATGCCGCTTCTATATGAAAAGTAGTGGATCTCATCTATTACGTTATGTGAGATACCTAAGCTAATTTATGGGATGATCTTTTTTTTTTTTTTTTTTTTTTTTTGTCAAAACTTGACAAGATGATCAAGTTCACTATATTGATCCATATAGAGATATCGTTTAAGTGCCAAAGGATTAATTTCTAAGTGACATTTGTGTAAGTGATCCATAAATTTAAGGTTATCATGGTATGTTGAGTATGGGCAATTATACATTGTTTGTTATATGATTGCTTTGTAAGACTTACCTCCTTTAGAGGCAAATTATGACCCACATGATTGATTGATATTCTAATTAATTGATTGACAATTAATTGGTATCTCCCATTAGGTAATGATTGGTGATTGGTATCCTAATTAATTGATTGACATCTTGTCAATAATTAATTAGTATATTCCATTTCTTTGGTGATTGATTGATATCTATTATTAATTGATATCTTATTCAATCAGTTAATCAATCAAATCAATCAATTAGTCAGAAAATATTAATTTCAGTTATGGATTTTGGCAAGAGTTCCTTGATGGAAGGAAACCCTAGGGATTTTTGTATTTGCCAGTAAGGGTCCCTAGCCTTGCCTATAAATAGCCTGTGGTATTCCATCAATTAAACACCTTTTGGTTAGGCATAGGCTAGAAGATCCCTACTCTAAATTCTCCTTCTACTTTTCTCTTCTTCTACACATCTACATGGTGTCTTTGTCTACACAGACAAGAACAAAGTAAGAAGACAAGGAGTTGCAAAGATCAATCTCTGTTCAACAACAATGGTTGGAGGTAAGTCATTTAATTTCAACTGCCTAGTACAAGTTATTTGTACTTATTTGAATTAACATGTGGTATCAAAGCCACCCTCTAGCCATGTTGTTTAACATATAACTTCATGGTTTGTTGGCAATCTGAGAAAAGTTATATAGATTCATTTAATATTGAATGAATCAAATTCAATTTGTCATGGGATCTATGTATCCATTATCTCAATTATTGAGAATTAATGGCTAATTCCATGTATATGTATCATCCTTGTGATGATTTATTTATCATGCAAGTAGGTGTCATACATATTTCGTTAGTGTGATATTTAATTTTCATTTGGTTATGCGTGTATATAACAACATAATTAATTTTATCTTGCATGAATTATGATTACTATACTTATGCCTTTTGACTTTGCATCATGTATGCTAAATGAAGGTTGAACTTTGCTTTTGAGGCACTTTATGAGTTCTATTTAAATAACTCCATGCCTCTTGAAATTATTGGTTAATAATTGGCATAGCAAGTTGTTTGTTTCGCCTAATTATTTAAACTATAATTTGTGACATTTATCAACCTTTCATTTTGTCACCTTTATAGATGTTATCATAAAGATTTTGCATCTTGTATTTAAGAGTAGCCACAGCATCTTATATGCTTGATGTTTAGAATTTTAATCACGTAAATGTCTAGAGATTACTTGAATAACATCTAATTAAGTAAACAATTAATTTATTAAAATTATCACTTGGCCCACAGGAAGGTGATAGTTTTAATAAGATTAGTTGAAATAAGATGGTAAATTTAACATTGTGCTAAGAGATTTTCCGAGACCCACAGGTATGGAAATTTCTATTTTTGTTAATAGTTTTAATTTACCAGTCTTATTATAAAGAAAGTAAATTCAATGCGTGTTTGGCAACCTCTACCCACAGGAAGGTTTGAATTTATTATTTGAATTAACATTGGTTAATTCAATCCTTATGTCTTAAGTTTCATAGCAATAATGTATGTTTATTATTGGATATTGCAGTTTTTTCTACCACTACTCTTTTTAATGATTCATCTCGTATTCCAATGCTATCCGGTGAAAACTACACTGAATGGAAGGACAAGATTCTTCTAACTTTGGGGTGCATGGATCTTGATTTGGCCCTTCGTAAGAATGAACCACCCATTTTCACGGATTCTAGTTTGCCAAATGAAAAGGCTGCTTAAGAGCGGTGGGAGCGATCTAATCGCCTAAGTTTGATGCTCGTTAAGTCACATATCAGTCAAAGCATTAGGGGTTCAACTCCTGATTGTGACCGAGTCAAAGCTTACATGAAAGCAATTGATGAACAATTTGTAAGCTCTGACAAGGCTTTGGCTAGCACCCTTATGAAGAAACTTGCAAGCATGACACTTGACAAAAGTAGGAGTGTACGCGAGCACATTATGGAAATGAGGGATATTGCGGCTAAATTAAAGTCCCTTAAAGTTGAGATTTCTGAATCATTTTTTGTACATTTCATTCTCAACTCTCTTCCGTCGGAATATACTCCGTTTAAGATCTCTTATAACACACATAAAGAAGAATGGTCAATTAATGAACTATTGACCATGTGTGTTCAAGAGGAGGAGAGATTGAAACATGAGACACCAGAAAGTGTTCATCTAGTGACTCATGGTAAAGGAAACACAAAGAAAGGAAAAGGCAAGAGTGTTCTTATGAAAAAAGATGGCAATAAAGACAAATGCCGTTTTTGCAAAAAGAAAGGGCACTAGAAGAAAGATTGCCTCAAGTACAAGAAATGGCTTGAAAAGAAAGGTAATCTCACCTCTGTGTGTTATGAATCTAACTTTACTGAAGTTTCTGATAATGCTTGGTGGATTGATTGTGGTTCTACAATTCACATTTCCAAAACCATGCAGGGCTTTTTGAACCTAAGGAAGCCATTGGGAAGTGAACAAAGCATCTATTCTGGAAATCGGATGCGTTCATCTGTTGAAGGCGTGGGGACCTATAGACTCATTTTAAAGACCGGTTTTCAATTAGATCTTGAAAATACTTTTTTTGTTCCATCCTTTTCTAGAAATTTGATTTCTCTTTCTAGACTATTTATTATTGGATATGATTCCAATTCTCATCTTTCAACTATGAATCTTTTAAAAAATAATAAAATTATTGGTTCTGCCAATTTGGATGGAATGTTATTTAAACTTGAGTTAGACCCCACATATGAATATAGCCTTTTAACTGTGCATGGTACTGGTACTAAACGCAGTATTATCAATGAGAACTCTCTAAAACTTTGGCATAGGAGATTGAGACATATCTCCATTGATAGAATCAAAAGGTTGGTGAATGATGGAGTCTTACAGACTTTAGATTTCACTGACTTTGGTACTTGTGTAGGCTGCATAAAGGGTAAGCAGACTAACAAGACCTCAAAAGGTGCCAAAAGAAGTTCTCAATTACTTGAGATTATACACACAGATATCTGTGGACCTTTTCCTACCCCTTGCTTGAATGGTCAGAGATATTTTATCTCATTTATAGATGATTATTCAAGATTTATGTATCTCTATCTCTTGTTTGATAAATCAGAAGCACTTGATGCTTTTAAAATTTTCAAATTAGAGGTAGAGAAACAAAATGAAAAGAAAATCAAAATTGTGAGATCAAATAGGGGTGGCGAATATTATGGAAGGCACACAGATAAAGGACAGGCATATGGTCCATTTGCTAAGTTTCTCCAAGAAGAAGGTATTGTTGCTCAATATACAATGCCTGGCACACCACAACAAATGGTGTAGCCGAAAGGAGAAATAGAACTCTCATGGACATGGTTAGAAGCATGATTAGCCGTACCAGTTTGCCTTTATCCTCATGGAGTGAAACTTTAAAAACAGCTGTGTATATTTTGAATAGGGTACCATCCAAGGCTGCGCCCAAGACGCCTTTTGAGATTTGGAATGGATGGAAACCTAGTTTAAAACATTTACACGTATGGGGTTGTCCAGTTGAAGTAAGGGTATATAACCCACACATTAAGAAATTGGATGAACGTATAGTTAGTGGCTTCTTCATAGGCTATGCTGTTAACTCCAAAGGGTTTAGATTTTACTGTCCTTCACACACTCCAAATATTGTTGAAGCTAGAAATGCTAAATTTCTTGAGGAGCATGAAATCAGTGGGAGTGGTTCTCAAAAAGTGGAATTTGAAGAAGTAAAGGATGCACCTGTGCCACCTTTACATGATCTAGTTGTTATTCAAAATATTGAAGAGCAACCAATTGAGCAACCTCCACTTGAGCTACCACAACAAGAACAATCAACAATAGTTGATCCCACTAATCAAACTCCCCATGAAACAGTGGGAGTTAGAAGATCTACGAGAATTAGAAGGCCAGCAATTTCTAGTAATTATGAAGTATATCTCCAAGAGTTTGACTATGATGTTGGACTTAAGGATGACCTAATTCACTTTCACAAGCCATGAATGGAGAAAACTCCACATCTTGGTATAATACCACGAAAGAAGAAATGGAATCAATGGCTAAAAATAAAGTCTGGGATCTCATTGAATTACCCAAAAAGGTCTCTATTGTGGGTTGCAAATGGGTTTTCAAAACCAAAAGAGATTCAATGGGTAATATCGAACGATATAAAGCTAGACTTGTAGCCAAAGGTTTTACTCATAAGGAAGGCATTGACTACCATGAAACCTTCTCTCCTGTTTCAAAGAAGGATTCATTGCGTGTTATCATGGCAATAGTAGCCCACTTTGATTTGGAGTTACATCAAATGGATGTGAAAACGGCATTCCTTAATGGGGATCTTGAAGAAGAGGTATACATGTGTCAACCTGAGGGTTTTGTCAATAATGATAACAATCAACTTGTTTGTAAATTAAAGAAATCTATATATGGACTAAAATAGGCTTCCCGTCAATGGTATATTAAGTTTCACAACATTATCTCTTCATTTGGTTTTGTAGAGAATATCATTGACCAATGCATATATCTTAAGATAAATGGGAGTAAATATATCTTTTTAGTCCTATATGTAGATGATATTCTTCTTGCAAGTAATGATATGGGTTTGGTGCATGAAACTAAAATGTTTCTTACACAAAACTTTGAAATGAAGGATATGGGTGAAGCCTCTTATGTCATTGGCATAGAGATTCATAGAGATAGAACAAGAAAATTTTGTTCTATCTCTATGTTTCAAAATTTCTCTATGTTTCAAAATGTAGGCCTTTGTTCTATTTATCCAAAATCTCTATGTCTCAAAAGGCCTACATTGAAATGAAAAGATTTTGGAAAGATTTGGAATGAAGCACGGCTCTTCCATTGCAGCTCCCATTGTCAAAGGAGAAATTTTCATAAATTTAAAATAAATAGAAAGAAAAAATTCAAGAATTGAAACTTTAAATGGTTTAAAGTTTGAGCTAATGTGATTGTTTTTTTTATTGGTAGAACCCCGTACACAGGGTGGGGATGCTAGCCCCAGATTTTATTAGAATTAACCAACAAATACAAAGAGCGTAATGGTCATAACTGAATGATACAATGCCACTAGTCTAAGCCTTGTTAGATTGCATACGTAGATGGGGGAATTCCCTACTATCTAATTGTAGAGAGGCCCTAACCTCTCCCGAGAGATGATGCAACATAGTACAGTAAAATTTTGTTGACAAACGCAAACCTGCCAGTTTATCTGACGTGGAATTCGCCTCTCTAAGCACATGTGAGAGAGATGCAGTTAAAGAAGATAATATGCCTATGATTTTCTTCAATGTGTTGCACAAAGACCACTTGGACACTACCCCAGTAGAAATTAGTCGCACCAGGCACTCCGAGTCTTCTTCCACAAGCAAAGGTCTCGTGGAGATTCGCTGATATAATTGAAGACCATACAACAGTGATGAGCTTTCCGCCCTCAAGACATGCATCTCCCAAAATTCCTTGTAAAATGTAAAAATTAGTCGTCCCTCTGAGTCTCTAAGCCGACCACCCCCTGCACCCTGCCCTAATAGACACTGGCATCAGTGTTCAGTTTTACGTAGGGATATGGCGGGTGCTTCAATGATACAGCCACACTCCTCTTCACCTCGATCGTCGGACAGCAAACTGTGCCCATGGATCATCAGGATCACCCCTAAAATGACTCACCGCGAGCTTTTTTGCCAGCCCAACTGTTCCACAAATCCATCGACAAGGGAAATAATCCTGTGCATCTCATACCTCTCCCCATCAGAGCGTGCCCTATTCCTAGTCTTCCATAGAATCCACAACACTGACAAAGGTATAACAGTCCTTATATGCTCCTACGTTACTAAGGAGGTCGAACAGAACCAAGTAACAACATCGCCGAGACCGAAGAGGTGTGGGATTCCAGTATCCCAAATCTTCTTCTGAAATGTAGCCAAACCTCCATAGCTATTGGCCCTGCGACAGACAAATGCATTACAGACTCTTCTGTGAAGAACAACAAGAGCACCTAGATGCCATTGGGATCTTACGATTCTTCAAATTCGTATCTAGCGAAACCAAGTTTCGTTCAACTCTCCATGCACAAAATGATATCTTTAACGGCATTATGTTATTCTAAAGAAACCTATCCACCAAAGAATAACTCCGCTCTGACGGATAACCTCCCAAGTGGACTTGATCGAGAATTCGCGAGAGGGTGACCTCATCCAAACCAATCGTCTTATTCTGGGAATAAATGAATATATGTATCCTATATTTGTAGAACTAGCTAGGGCAGCAACCAAACCATCAATTTTTCAACATTCCAACCCATGGCACCATAGAACTCTGCCAACAGCATATGGGGTAGGTCTTGAATGGAGATCAAATCCACGAGGGGTAAATCAAATAGCCAACGGTCATACCAAAAATCCACGAAGCCTTTGCCCATGCACCATCTAATGTTGCTTTTTGCAGTAGTTTGAATATTCTCCAATCGCCTCCAAGATAAAGGGGGTTTTTCTACTTTGACTTGCAGAGGATGACATCCTTTAATGTATTTGACATACATAAAGTCTACCTAGATCGAGTCCCTTTTCCTCAAACACCACCAAAGCTTACAAGTGAAAGCTAAGCCCATGTTAGTGAAATGTCAAAAACCCAACCTGCCCTCTTCAATAGGATAGCAAAGGCACTCCCAAGATGTCCAGTGGATGCCCTTCGACACCCCAACCTTGTCCCACAAGAAAGCATTGCAGATTCTCCACAGCTTGACTAGCACCGCCTTAGGTGGTTCTAGGACTTGTAGCAAATACATAGGCATTGAGGCAAGAACATAACATATCAACACCAATTTACCCCCAACCGATAACATTCGCGAGCTCCAATGGAATAATCGTTCTCTCATCATAGCTACTAGAGGATCGAATAAGGCACATGTGACTCTTCCCCTGGATATCAGTGCCCCCAAATACGTAAAAGGAAGAAGTTGCTGCTGAAATTGTAGACTTGAAACCACCATTGCATGATGCTCATCAGAAGCTCGGATAGATAGCACATATGCACTTTTACCTGCATTAATTTTTTGACCAGAGTAAAACTGACAAGCAACAAGAAATGATTGCAAGGCATCCAAACAATCCTTTGAGCAGCGAATAAAAATCAAGATATCGTCTGTGAATGCCAAATAAGGGACCCGCGACCCGTCGAAACAAAAAACTTGCTTTCATCTGGCCAAAACAAATGATTCAAACCTCGTCCTAAAAACTCCGCCACTAGTAAAAATAGAGTCGGGGAAAGAGGATCCCTTTGCCTAGCTCCCCTTGTTGCTTCAAAGAAACCCACCGGCAACCCATTGATCAGTACCAAAAACCAATTATTCGACAAGGTTCGAAAAATTAGATCTACCACCCACTCATGGAAGCCAATTTGTCGAAGCATAAATATCAGGAAACTCCATTCCACCCTGGCATATGCCTTTTCCATG